CAGGATTAGGAATGAGCACATCAGAGGGACAGCTCAGGTCGGCTGTTTTGGGGACAAGGTCAGAGAGGCCAGATTGAGACAGTTTGGACATGTGCAGAGGAGGGATAGTGGTTATATTGGTAGAAGGATGTTGGAGATGGAGCTGCCAGGCAAGAGGTCAAGAGGAAGGCCAAAGAGGAGATATATGGATGTGCTAAAAGAGGACATGAAGTTAATTGGTGTGAGAGTAGAGGATGCCGAGGATAGAGTTAGGTGGAAACAGATGATTCACTCTGGCGACCCCTAACGGGAACAGCTGGAAGAAGAAGAAGAAGAAGAAAAGCATGTCTACCAAAGGTTTAGCTTATTTATGCTAGCGCCAGAAATTCGGTTGTCGGACTATAATTAGCCACTGAACTTTGCACAGTACAAATGTTAAGGAAACGTATTCTTAAACACAGACTATTAGCTAACGAGCTGCAAGATAATTTAGGACAATTCCCCTGCTTCCAGATTTTGAGCTACAGTGTGGCACTGAACGCGGGGACTGCTATAATATTAGCAGCCCCCACTTCATATACCCTACAGCAGGTAACCTTAATGAAGAAAGCAAGCCTGAATATTTTCCTCAGATGAATATTAATCCTTATATTAATGTCAACATCTGACTAAGATAGGTGCAGGGTGATTTCTGAACAATGTGCAGACATAAACAAACCATTATTACCTTAGGCCTTCTTCCGCCATTCTCCTCCGAAAAGTGCTGAGTGATACAGCAAACACATTCGCTAGATCTCGGATGTTTATGCCAGAAAGCACTACAGTTTGTAGTGCTTCAACTGGAATTTCAAGAGGCGGACTTCTGGCATCGGAAGACAAACTCTCCTGGGCAGATTCAACATGCGCACGGTGCTGACTGTTGATTATAACATCCGGAACAGCTATCAGGCCGAGCGTTTCAAAAATACCATCCAGTCCGGCTCAAAATAGTATCAGCTGATAAACGATTCCACTTAGGAAAACCTCTCAGTCTGCCATCTCTCGTTACTGTTGCCTATCTAGCCTATGCAAGCTGTAAGGGCCAAGAAAACGGAACAAGGAAAAGTAATCGATACCGAACGAGCAGCCAGTCACATAACTGGTCCCGCCCCCTGGTCTTGATTGACAGACAGTCATTCTGCTGAAAAATGGCATTATGAAATAAAAAGGGCACTGGGGAAAACAGAACTGAAATAGAACTTTGGAAAAACGACATTTTGAAATAAAAACGGCTGGAAATCAAAAGGGGGTTTTGCAATAAACACTTATTGTGAAAACAAGCATCATGAAATATTTCATAATGAGCAATTTTTTTCAAACTAATGAAAGCAACTTCATAATGACCTTAATTATAAAGATGTTTCAATTTTTTTTACAATTTAATGGTCATACGTTGTGCAGATTCATTGAAATAAATGTTTTTTCATAGTCATTTTTTAATTATAAACATTTTGGCACTCCATATTGCTTGTTTTCTTGTTGGCTTAGGGGTAAAAGGGCAAAGCGAAGGAGACATGACATTTCTGCATGTCTGAGTTCTGCTGGTTCAACAGCAGTTTGATAAAACTGCTCATACAATTTCTGATACTGGTTGATTGTTGGAGTGTGGACTGATGCTTCACGTCCTCTGCTCAGCTGTGTGGGTGTGTGAGGAGCACAGCACCTCCCTCCTCTAAACAAAGACAAACAGCACAAAATACAGTGGGAAAGCAAAGTAGGATGGCCCACATCAACCCCTGAGGTTATGCTGGGTGATGGTTAATGGAAGCATAGGGTGTACTGCTTGTTAGGTTCTGACAGTGGAAACACAGCTATAATAATATACTGTACTTCAAACACTCATCCTGGTTCCCAAGAAACCCTCTGAGCAAACTGAATGACTACAGACCTGTCACCTGACATCTGTGGTTATGAAGTCCTTTGAGAGGCAGGTGTTGGCACATCTGAAGGACACCGTAGACCCCGTGCTGGACTCACTGCAGTTTGCCTACCAGGCAAACAGGTCAGTGGATGATGCAGTCAGCATGGCACTGGATTACATCCTACAACACCTCGACTCCCCAGGGACATGGGTCATCTTTGTGGACTTCAGCTTCAACACCATCATCCTGTACATCCTCTACTCCAAACTGACCCAGCTCACTGAGATTGTGGTCAGTCAGCCTACAGACAGGAGGTCCTGTGGTGAGGTCTCATCAACCTGAAGCTGAAGACGCTCAAAACAGTGGAGATGACGGGGGACTTCAGGAAGAGGCCCCCTACCCTACACCATACTCAGGAACACTGTATCAACAGTGGAGTCCTTTGAGTTCCAAGGTTCCACAATCTCCCGGGACCTGAAGTGGACGTCCAACATCAGCACCATCACCAAGAAGGCACAGCAGAGGATGTACATTTTTACACTTCATAGTAGGAAAAGCACAGGTGTAAGTGACAACGCTCGCGATGGCTGGATTCCATTTATGTAAGCCATCGCGAACGTTGTCAGCTACACGTGTGTTTGTTCTACCGTGACTATCCAAAACAACTGCTGCGGGAAAAGGTCTGGTGAGCTGACGAAGTTTTATGGTGAAAAAAAAAATCCTCCAGATGTTCACGTTTCTCCCTGCGCTGTCCAATGTTAAACAGCTGTGTGAAAGACATCTCCTGTCCGCATCAAACAGACCAGCTGCTTTCAGCTGTGATGAGAAAGAACCACATCACTTCACATTTGACACGTACAGTTTTATTGTTCTGCCATGTACACACTGCAGCTGCTATGCCTCGTTAGTGTTTTAGGTTTATTTTTAGTAATAATTTGATAACGTCATACATGCCCAAATAGATATTTGCACTGTTAATGTGTATATATTATCACCATGGAAACAAGCTGCTCATTTATCAAATCAATGGTCTCTTTTTGACAGCTCTTTTATTGGATGACACTTAAAGTAGATGGCAAGGTGAGGATCATACGTTACATAATGTCTCAACTGTGGATGAACACCAAACATACTTCAGTCAATTCAAGCAGTTTTTCTAGCACTGCAAAAAAAAAAAACAAACAAAAAAAAAAAAAAACATTGGTCTTTACTCTTTAGAACACATCCAAACATACTCAACTCTCACTTCAACAGCTGGAGTATACAAGAGTCACAGATGGATGGCAATAAATAAATAAGGAAGTACTGATGTGATAACTGAAAATGGAAGTTAGTCTTTGTTTCAAATTAAAGTTGTGTCAGTGCTTTAACAGCAGTGATAAGTAAAAGTTAAAGCAAAGCATCTATAGGCCATGCTTGATGGCTAACAACGTGAAGGGTAAGTCTGATGTTATTATGTATCTTATTACTGCCAACAAATCCCATAATAAACATGAAAACCAACAATGTGTCAGTCCATCTCTCAGTGCTTTCTGACTTGCCTACCCTGTCTGTGGCTCTCAGCTCCAAACCCATTTCTGCAACTGAACACTCCTTAAAGACCGCTCACAAATATATAACTTCATTTTCCTAAAACAACTGGGCACTGTAGTTTTTAATATAACATTTGTTAGGGACTATTTTCAGCTCTGTTTTAATCCAATATTTGTGACAGCAGGACGATGTACGAGATACAGAGTCAAAAAAATAATGGTAGTGTGACAGTGTGACTCACTCGTGTTTTTGAACAGCAGTGGAGCAGTAGTGAGAATGCAGCAGTAGTGAGTCCTAAAACCTGGAACAGAGTTATTAGCATGTTTGCATTTCCCCTTCCCTGGGTTTTTCAGTGGGTTTCTGCTTAGACACCTGAAATAAGGTCACAAGAACAACAGGCCAATACATTTTCATGTTTAGTTCTATGAATTAAAATATGTCAGTAAATACCCCAATCGTGATTTTTAAAGCTTTTACGTGTCTTAAAAAAGACGATTACTAACAAGTGGCTAAATGAGACTACAGCGGATGTCGGGGACAATAAACGTCACATGCTGAATATGCAGACTCAGCTACTCACTAGCCCACCTTTACAGTCTTGCTGTATTTAAACTCACACACTTGCAAACTATTCTAAGGATCACAAGCTAGATCAGGACACGCTAAAAGGAAAGTGTTTAGAGGAAGTAAGTGCGCTAAGTTGGAAGCCGCGGCGGTGATGTTGTATTTAGGCTACCATGTGAAGATTATCTTACTGAACAAAATGTGTAAAAGTCATAAGCTTTTTTTTGTTTGTTTGTTTGTTTGTTACAGCTTATTTTCTGCATAAATCTGAAAGTCTATGGAGAAATTCCACTGGCTTTTTGTTGAGGGAACTGGGGTGATGCTAACTTCTGGGCCGGCCTACAAAAATACACCATGCATACAACACTCTATGGCACAGAGGAATAAGCTATGTCAGGTTTTGGATACTTGTTAGTAGGAGCAGACTATTTGTGGTTTTGTTGTGCTCATGGGATTTGTTGACAGTAAGGAAAATACAGCCAGCTTTATCCTTTAAAAGGCTTTATGGAGGACAGGATATGAGCACTGCTGCAGTGTGAGGTGGGGAAAGTAGGAAGGTGAACGTGGGGGGTGAAACAGATGACATGAGCTACATGTATAAGGAGGGTTAAGCGCATCCAAACATTCCTCGTTACTACTTTCTCCTTAGACACACTGTATATACACACACAGAGCTGGCAGCTCTGCAACAGATAAAATATGAATGCACAACACACGTTTAGGACAGACAAACAAAAAAAGAGGGGGGGGGCAGATGTATCATGGGAAGACACAAGGTGTGATAACACAGCCTTGATAAACGGATCAGCAGGTTGGCGTTTGGCTGTAGATAGAGTCCATGATGATACACATTTACTCCACTCTGTGTAACATTAACCTCATCTGTATGGTGGCCATTGTCCAGCTGAATCGGTGCATGTACAGCAGGTTTAAGTGGGCTAATTAAATGCTTTGAAAAGTTTCTCTTTTTTCCCCAATCCAAGCATGATTTTTGCCATCTCCTCTATGTACAAATGTCTACAAGCGTTCTTCTAGAAGAGGCCCATGCATGAGGTAAACGTCCCAGATGCCCCCTTTGACTTTGATCATACCGTCACCACACCACAGCAGCCGAAAGATAAAAAGACGGGAAACACCGAAAAAAAGAGTCAGACAAAAACAATGGTTGCTATCTTTGGTCACAACAAGAGCAAATGAAACGGTGTGAGGGAAGAAGCGTGTTAAAGCACAAAAACTGTCCCGTTCCTGGATGAAAACAAGTGAAACAATCCAGTGATCAGCAAGGACAGCAGGAAGGGAACCTTTTCATCTGAGGAGGCGCACAGTATGTCACCAAAGGCTTTAGTGGAAGATGTAGGGAGTAGATTAGTGGAAGCAGCTGCTCAATCTAAGGCGGCCTTCTCCTCCTCCTCCTCCTCCTCCTCCTGTTGCTCGTCCTCAGAGTAGCGCTGGAGCAGTTGGTGCAGGTACTGCTGCAGGGCGTCTGGCTGTAGGGCCTCTGGGGTGTCGTCCAGATGCTCCAAGTGCACGTGCTTCCCTTGGGCATCCCTCACCACAGTCCTCTTCTGGGTTTGTGACTTATGCATCTGGCTTCTGTAGGAACAAAACAAGAAGAAGTTAGAGTTTCACCAGATCCTGGACAGTGGTTCACAAACTTTTACTGCTGGGCCACCTGCTGTGGGTAAAACTATCTTATTTCCTAAGTTGTTTAATACTTTTTAAAAATCAAAATGCATTATCCTGAAATTTTACTTAATCCTGTTAACTTCCACATTTTATTTTCACTCAAGCATTATTTCAAAGGGTAATTTCTGCTTTTATGATGCCAGTTTTCAGCAATCAGACTGGATGTTGCTTTGGTCTTCGAGCTGATAAAGCTGAGCTGGTCATATTCAGAGTATGAGTTAAAATGATATTTAGATGTGGCCAAATACCAAATTAGCAGAGTGAAAAGGTTAAGAGCCAACCATAAACACCATTAGAAACCAAACACACACCATGCAAGTGTCCACATGACATATTTCAAATCATATTCCAAAGTGGGCACTATTTTCATTTGCTTGATCAAAATCCTGTCAAACTATTGTACTTACTAGCTTAGTGCTTAAGACATGGTGAAGCAGCAAAACCACTACAAACATGTACTGTATATAAATGAGGAAATCATATGACAGGCAGGATGTATAGAAGTCAACCTTATCAAATCTGAAAAAATTGATATAAAATTACATATAATCCTTACATCTACAACACCTAATGAATGTTTGGCATTCATATGGGCATCGGGTGAAAACCTACAGCAACTCTCTGGACGGGTTTCACAGGAACTTGAGAAGATAAAGAAATGGTGTGATAGTAATATACTATCTCTGAATTTGGATAAAACTAAATTTATGGTATTTGGGAATC